CTCGCAGCCCCGCTCCCCCCGCTTCAACTCGCTCGCCTCACTACATCCACACTCATGTGGCGGCGGAGCGGGTTGGAAATATCGGGGTGGGAGTGGGCAAAGCTTCACCGCAGGCCGTCCTGGCAAGGGCCAGGGCGGCCGCGGCCGCAACCAATAGAGCAACCAACGCAGTCAGCAGGCAACCACGCCGCTTTCGGCACACTGCAGGAGCAGTTTCGTGCGCAGCGTGCCTCGTATCCAGCAGGGGCCTATCACATTGCCTCATTGTGCCCAACACTCTTCTAAGTAACCTCCACCTCCACCTTTACCCCGCAACTGCAACCACGCGGTGCTTGCACTGTCGAATAGTGGGCTGTTGTTTTTGAGGATCTTGGATGGGGAGGGGATGTCACACCAACCGTCACCGTGCCGCCGCCACGGAAGGCAGAAACTTCCTCCAGGCAGGGTGGAAATCCCCCAAGTGGCCCCAGCTCCTCGCTCTGGGTACCCCACTCCTGATTTGCAGAGGAGGGCACCAGTCGTGGGGCTGGGGGTCACTTCGCGGGATTTCCCATGTGCAGGGGGAGAGGCCCTTCTGCCTTCCAACTCGGCGAGCGGGGCCGGCCCACTGCCCACGGCGAGTGGCGACCGCCACCGCCGGGATGGCCCAAACCCCACTCGCGCTCGGCGGACCCCCCCCCGAGGCGGCCCCGAGGTCAAGGTGCTGGGAAGCCTGCGCATGCGGCCGCCACTGGAGCGCCGCTGCTGCCCCGTCACGCGAATGGCAGCCACTGCCATGTGGCCAGCGCGCTGCGTCCCGCCTCAGGCCCGAGAGCGTGCCAGCCGCGTGTGCACCCATGCACGGGCCACCTCTCCACCTCCCCCCACACCTCAGCAAGGCAGGGTCTCCTCAACAGAGGGGGGTCCTAGGGAGCCGTCAGGGCACTGGCCCCGCGAGGCCAGGGAACCCGAGGTGGAGGACCCATACGACGGGCCCTGCGGGCTCCAACAAGCGCCACGCGTACTTTTACAGCCTGACCTGCTGCCGCCACCAGCATCCCTCCAGCTACCATTCCCACCTCTTAGTTACAAATGGATGGTATGATGCTATTCTGCCCTATTTTTCCTCCCTTCTTCCTCCCTGTCTGTCTACTTAAACTTAATCTTCTACTATCTTACTCTACTCCCCCAGGGCTGGCCGGACGGTCAGTCCTGGGGAAGCGGCAGCGTGCGGAGCACTCTTTTGCCGTCAGGAAACAGGAAACAGGAGGGGGAGGAGGAGGAGGAGGAGGAGGAGGAGGAGGAGGAGGAGGAGGAGGAGGAGGAGGAGGAGGAGGAGGAGGGGACGGAGGATGAGGATGAGGATGAGGATCATGAGAAGGTGGAGGTGTAGGAGGAGGAAGAGACTAGGAGGAGGATGAGGACGAGGAGGAGGAGGCGGAGGAGGAGGAGGAGGAGGAGGAGGAGGAGGAGGAGAGAGGAGGATGAGGACGACGAGGGCGACGAGGAGAACGAGCGAGGAGTGGAGTGGGGAGGATGAAGAGGAGGAGGAGGGAGGAGGAGGAGGAGGAGGAGGAGGAGGAGGAGGAGGAGGAGGAGGAGGAGGAGGAGGAGGAGGAGGAGGAGGAGGAGGAGGAGGAGGAGGAGGAGGAGGAGGAGGAGGTTGTTTTGACACCAACAGGCCGCACCCATATGCACTCAGAAGGGTGGTGAGTCCTCCTGAGGCCTGGAGCAGGAAGAGAAGGCGCAGGAGGAGGGGGCGGGATCAGGCAGCCTGGATTGGGTCTTTCTCTGCGTGGGCTCCTGTCCAAGGTTCTTTTTGTGCTGTCGGGCCTCTGGCCCTTGGCCGTCCGCAGGCGAGGCGCTGCCCCCGCCGCCGCTGCTCCCGCCGCCGTCGTCGTACTCCTCCCTCCTCCCACAAGGGTCCCTCCTTGTGAGCGTTTTTTTTTTTTTTGTTGTTGTTCGTTTTTTTCTCTCTAACAAAAAATTCGGCGTTTCGACATTGGGCGGCAAGGGGGGGGAGGGGGGGGGGGTCTGGCTCCAGACCTCTGCTCAGTGCGACTGTTTGCAGCAGTGCGTCCATTATGGGGGAGACTCCCCCTGCTCGAAGCAGGCGCTAACAAACAGCCAAGATCTACTCCATGAGGGGTGGGGAGGTGGGGATGGGGCCCGCGCCGATCGGCAAACCAATGAATAACACAAGCGATGACGATGTTCCTCCGAACGTGTGTTTGCGCCAACGTGTGCTTGCCCACCGACGCCCATCAGCACGACGCAGCCGGCGTAGAGAGAGAGAGAGAGAGAGAAAGAGAGAGGGCCAGCACGGGCTGCGTGCTGTCGGTGGAACTGTACGGGGTACACATACCGGGCTAGCACAGGTCTTGAGGATCATCGATCGGCCATGGCGCCCGCGGGAAGGAAGATTGATCCAGAGCGGTCTGAGCTGGAGCCCTCTGCACGAATCCCCGCGGAAAGCAGCGCTCCTGCCGTGGATTTCGCTGAGCCCCCTGGGGGGGGAGCCAGCCAGGCCACATCCCCTGATAGCGTTCCGCCAAGAATTTTCTAACAGTGATCTGAACAAGAAAAACCACGGAAGAGGCCCGCAAAAGGGGACCGGGGAGCCCTAGACCGCCCGGGTGGAGGTGGAGGAGGAGGAGGAGGAGGAGGATGATGAGAAGGTGGAGGTGTAGGAAGATGATGATGATGATGATGATGATGATGATGATGATGATGATGATGATGATGATGATGATGATGATGATGATGATGATGATGATGATGATGATGATGATGATGATGATGATGATGATGATGATGATGATGAGGAGAAGTGTGAGATTTCCCCACATTTTTGGTCTGAACGGCCACGATCCCTCGTAACAGATGCGCTACGGTGCACAGGACCGTGGACACTTCAGGAAAGCCTGCGCACGAACGTCTCCACTAGCCGATCTCCCACTCCTCGGCTTACCCTTTCACCGCTGCTGCCATTGGATGCTTTGCTGGGGCAATGCTGGCCGTATTTCTTCTCTTGACGCCCCCCGCCGCAAGCCGCCCCAAATCCGATGGCGGCTCCAAACTTGTTCCGCGCTCTTCGGATCGTTGTGTGTCTCAACCTGTTCTATGATCTGCCTGCGCAAGGCGCGCCCGCATGCATCGATAACCCCTGTGTGTAGCTCGGCGATGTCCTTGCTGCCAGCGGCGTTCGAAATGATGAGCGGGGGGCCTAATGACTGCCTGGTGGCTTAGGCGTCACCCTTCCAGGTTGTGCACAAGCTCAGGCTCCCCCAATCTTGGGCCGGGCCCCAGGTCAGGGTGGACCCCGCCGCCTGCTCTGGTTGTGCGCCTCCTGCCTTTTGGTGGTGGGACCAACTGCTTAGGTGTCACCACGTCGGGTTGCAAACAAGCTACGTAGGTTCCTTCGCCATGCCCAGGCCGCTTCTGTCACGCCGGCTCGTCCCTCGGGAATGGCCCGAGCGGGCGCCGCTCTGCTTCTCGGCAGCCTCCAGCCGTACGGCTCGGCGAGGCCCCAGCTGCGAGCACGGTGCGTGGTGGTGCTTCGCTACGTGGTACGAGGTGGTGGGGTATGGCTCGGATAGTGCTGCATAAAACACCAACCTGGTACTCGACGGTGCCACGTGACTTCCAACGCGCTGTTGTTTGCCCTCTCTGGTACAGCGCCGGCTGTTTCTCTGAGGGGTGGAGATGAAAGCTGGTGTCAAAAATGAGGCGGAGTGGGGGTGGGACCCAAGGGGATCGGTGGTGCGGAAAACACGAATAGTTCGCTCGCCAGACAATTCGTCTTTAGGCACTGCCAACACCGACGCGTGAGGTTACTGTCGCATTCAGCACCTTGCTTACTACAGCGGTGTTGAGGCATCTCGTCCAGGGCTCTCAAAGGGGACGACAGTCCCATAAGGTCCCGACAGTCCTGGCGCGTGCTCTACCTGCCATAGGAGTCCGACGGGGGGAGGAGGAGGAGGAGGAGGAGGAGGAGGAGGAGGAGGAGGAGGAGGAGGAGGGAGGAGGAGGAGGAGGAGGAGGAGGAGGAGGTGGAGGAGGAGGTGGAGGTGGAGATGGAGGAGGAGAGGAGGAGGAGGAGGAGAGGAGGAGGAGAGGAGGAGGGGAGGAGGAGGGGAGGAGGAGGAGGAGGAGGAGGAGGAGGAGGAGGAGGAGAGTGTGGCTTCCTTCGGCTTGCGCACAGACAGCGCCCTCCCAGGCAGTCCCGGCCGACCGCAGCCTCAACGCCTCAACCCTGGAGCGCGGAACGCCCCAGAGGCGCTCCGCGCTCCAGCGGCGCCAGGGTGTTGAGACTGCTCCGCCCCCTCCTCCTGCTGCTGCTGCTCCTCCTCCTCCTCCCTCCTCCTCCTCCTCCTGCGCTCCGTGGGCCGCCGAGCTTCCCTGGCGCTCCCCTGGGGCGCTCCGCAACCACCTGGCGGGGCTGTCTGTGCGCAGCCCGAGGCCATATCAGCCACCTCTGGTGGCCGCTTGACGTTGCGCACACATGGATCGAAGATCGTTGCGCTGTTCGTGACGTGCCAAAAACGATTCCCGACTTAGGCGAAGAAGCAAGCAATTTAAGCAGGCGGTGTGCGCTGCGGGCAACGACAGGCAAAAAAGATGGGCTGCAGAAAGAGGCCCAAAACGGCGCAGAGTAAGCGCCCGCCACCTGCACTGGAGGAGGTGCCTGAGGAGCACAAGAATGACGATGAGTCCTCCTCTGGTGGCCACTCCACCTCCCTGTGCCTGCGCCCTGGGTGGGGGAAGAGGGGTGCCACGGGGTTCAACCGCAACCCTGCGGGTGCTGCGGACGGGCGGCGTGGGGGCTCTGCCCCCCCCCCGACCTGCGGGTGGCGACCGCGAGCGCCCCACGCTCGCTTCTTGCCTGGGGACGTCACCGGCGGCTCTCTGAGGGCCCCAGCGTTGCCAAGAAGAAAGGGAAGGAAAGGGGGGAAGGTCGTCGACGGCGGCGGCGGCGGCGACCGGCGGGATGCGGCGGCAAGCGGGGCGCCGCAGCGGGCCTGGCCGCGCTCTCGGCCGGGGCGGCGAAGGGGCTGCGCAGCGGCGCGGGCGCCTCGGACCTGGCCGCTCTCCTCCTCCTCCTCCTCCTCCTCCTCCTCCTCCTCCTCCTCCTCCTCCTCTTACTTCTCCGCTGCGACGACGATGGCGGCGCAGGCCGCGACGGCGACGGCCACGGTGGCGGCGACAATACGCACGACGACGACCACAACGACGAAACCCACGACGACGAAGCCCGACGAAGACCACGACGACGACGATCACGACGACGATCAAAACGACGACGACGATCAAGACGACGACGACGACGACGATCAAGACGACGACGACGATCAAGACGACGACGACGGCGACGTTGATAAAGTGGAGGGCGCATGCTCATCTCAGCTTGTTTCGATCACCTACCAGCCCTATTGCTGCCCTTATCTAGCAAATGCCCTGTAAGATAGCAGGTCTCTGAAGGGTCCTTTTTGGCTGCGGTCCTGTCCCTTGGGCGGATTGGTGGGGGTTGGTAAAATTTCCACTTCAAGCGACGAGCAGTGAATCATGTGTCCTCTTGCCTCCTGCAACCCAACCTCATATGCCACGAAATATAGGAAACCTGGGGCCGATTAATTTTGAAATGAACTGCCGCCAAGGGTGCCCATGTACAGACCAGAATTTAGATGTCACTGTAGCTAGGGAGTTGATCTCGGATGTCGACTTAACCAAGAAGGTTTGCTCCACTCTGGCCTGCTTCCTGCTTCCTCACGCAATGCATTTGGACCCGTTCGCGTCTCTTGCTGGCTGGCTACCAGGTCGATCCGAAGTGCAGACATGGGCGTCAGCATGACACTTCCTGCCATTGCCTTCTGCATTGCACCGAAAGTCCAGAGTTGCGACAGGCCTTCCAGAATTTCGAGCTTGAAGAAGTAGTTTATACATATATTTACGTAGGCATATAACTAGTAATATACGTAGACATATATATAGACCTATAGATTCCCAAAACAATCTTGCACTTGAAGGTTCTTGCTTCTTGTCTAAAGAACTGGGCCTGTGTGTGTCGGTCTAGCGGCTCCGTGTCGGTCGTCGCCGCCCCGTCGGCGCCGTCGCCTTGGCTTGTGTGTGGGTCTGTCGGCTCCGTGCTGGCCGTCGCCGCCAGGTCACCGCCTCGTCAACGCCTGTCACCGTTGCTTCGCCGTCGCCGTCGCGTCGTGCTGCTTTGCGTTGCAATGTTTTGTGCTGCTTTGCATTGCAAAGCAAAGCATTCTTTTGCCTGGCCTTGCTTTGCATTGGTGTGCGCTTCGTTGCTTTGCGTTGAATTGCTTCGCGTCTCTTCGCATTGCTACGCCGTGCTTAGCATTGTCCTGCGTTGCCTCTGCGTAATTGGAAGGCAAACTTATTTTTTTCCAACTGGCCTCGATGAGTACGTTAGCTCTTAACATAATGACTGCATCACCTTGCGCCACATAGCTCACACCACATAGATGAGTACGTTGGCTCCCGCCCCGCCACACACTTTGCACCACGTAGCTTAGACCACATAGCTCGCGCCGCATACGCGAATACCCTTTTCTTACCGCATCCATTGCATCACGTAGCTTACACCCCATAGCTAACAACACACATATTGCACAACAGAACATGCACCACTTAGGCAATCCAGAGCCATCCACGGCCCAATATTTCCAAACTGTGCCTTGACATCGGACACCCATGCCACGGAGACTTTCACACGCTTCTGGTCCGCTAAACCGCCGAAGTTCGACTACTGCTTGCCCTTGCCTTCGTTCGTAGCCCGTTTGGCCGGGTTTGGCTCGAGGCGCGCGCCTGCAACAGCGGGTGCCTCTTTCTCTCTCTCTCTCTATATATATATATGTATATATCTATGTATATGAATTTATATGCCTATGCCGATTTCTATGTTTATGTCTATGCTAACGCCTATGTTAATGTCTTTGTCCATGTCTGTGTCTATGTCTATTTTTGTTCCTTTAAGTAAAGCGGTTGTGCATGTATGCACGTAGCGGGAAAAGTGGCAGGATCGAAAACACATTGAACTTCGTACGTATACTTGCCCCAAGCGATGCTTGTACTTATGGGTTCTTACTTCGGTTCTAAGGAACTGTGCCGTGTCTTCGGTCTGGCGGCTTTGTGGTCGCCGTCGTTGCCCCGTCGCCACTTCGTCGCCGCCCGTCGTCTGGGCAGTGGTTTCGGTCTGGCGGCCATGTGGCCGCCGTCGCCGCCCCGTCATTGCGGCGTCGCCACCCGTCGTCTGAGCCGTGTTCTCGGTCTGGCAGCTATGTGGCCGCCGTCGTCGCCGTGTCGCCGCGGTTGAATTCTCCTATCGAGCCCCAGGGGGTGTGCAATCTAAATACGCTCCTGCCCCACTGTTCGTTCCTAGTATGCGTCCAAATCATCTCATCCAAGCCTGTATCGACACCCCCGCACCACTCTCTGCAACAAGCACAACGCGCACACTCGTTCATCAAAGCCCATCAGCTGTCAAACATCCCCCTGCACAAGAAAACAAGACGAACGGCACACGCGAACGTCGTTGCGCGCATGCCGACGTTTCGTATGGGGGCATCAAAACCGAATGTTCCGAACGCAAATAAAGCACATGGTTTTGCAACATCAGTTTTCGAAAACAAATTTGCGTGCATGTTCTTGCCAACTTTTGGAAACACCGCACGTTTTTCAAACTTTTCCTGACATGCGACCGAGCGGGCTTCTCGCGCGCGTATGGGAATCATGTGGGCGGTCTTGCGAGCGTGCTGGGGGTGGGGCACGATCCTTGTCAAATAAGACCACGCGGGCCACTCGCGCGCGTCGGCCGCGCGCGCATGTCGAAATCCTTCCGGAACCTTCATCACCGACGCGAAGACACCATCATCGTCATCGGCGTGATCAACATCGGCGCCGTCATTGGCCTTGCCGTCGCCATCGTCATCATCATCGTCACCATCATCGCTACGATCATCACCGTCGACGTCGCCATGATACCGCGCCCGCCCAAGTCACCGATTCGCACGTTCTCACGCGTCAACGCGGCCTGCGAGACGCGCTGGGGAGTGCCCAGCGGTCAGCGCCACCGCGGCCGCGTCGGTCGCCCCAGACTGGCTGGCCGCTCTGCGCGCGAGCCTGTGCGCGCCAGCGCGGCCGCAACGATGCGGCAGTCAGCGCCAGGCAGGCACCACAATTGCCACTTCATGGGTTTTGCAAACCGACTTGCTGCTGGGTGGGTGGGACAATTGCTCGAACAGTGAGGTTGACAACGCACCGCGAACAAATGTTCGGTTGCAACATATAGGGTGCACCATATAAGTGCACAACATAGATTGTAGCACGCAGGATGTACCACATAGATTGTACCAGCTTGCTTAACATGGGTTGCGCAATTTATATTGCGCATTACGTAGATGGGACCGCATGTATTGCACCACGTAGGTCGCACAAAACACACATCTATATACATATATACATATTTATATATATATATGTCTATTACAGGATTCATATGGACAACAACCATACACAGCACAGCAACAGCAGCACACCCTATGTTGCACCACGTATACAGCTTCACACCGAATGCACACAGTATATTACCCATCGCGTACATTGCACTACATATACTGCACCATATATCATACGCACCATAGTTCGCACAACGTATATAACATCACACATCTTGCACACACGTTGTACCACACCAACTGCACAGTGTTAGTTGCACAACCGGTATTGCACAACCTATAGTGCGCAAGAAATACCTATGTGTATATATATATATATATAGCACCATATGTATGTATGTATGTATGTATGTATGTATGTATGTATATATATATATATATATATATATATATATATATTGCGCCTCATACATTGCACCATATGAATTGCACACCAAAGACCTGTACACCATACGTTGTGCAACATGTATTCCACTAGATATATACATTTATCTACGTAAGAAATGCATCGCCTAGGTAACACAACATATATTGCACAACATATATTGCACAACGGTTTGAGGTCCACGCTGGCTAACATATCGCATTCGAGCTTCTACTTTTGCAATTATCAAACAGTCTCTGTCCATGATACAAGGGCCCCAGCATGCTATGGTCTTGGCGATCTCAAACTTTGGTGTAGAGATACGGCCCTCACGACCCAGCAAGCCGTCTAACAGGTCGTACGCGGAACCAGGACGCAATTTTGTATTGCTGGCAGGGCTGTGGTAGCTCCAGAAGGACAAAAAGAAGGTTTTACCGATACGAAAAATAGGGTGGGCACCCACCTCTGCCAGACCTCCCCTGCTGCTGAGCGTTATGCTATGCTTGCTGCTGAACGCAGCTCCGATTCCCAAGCCCAGTGCCACGTAGATGATCAAATCGCAGTCAGCATCCAGCAAGAGCAGGATTTCGTTCGGTCGCCTTTTCACGGTGCTCTCCAGGTTTTGGCTGGGATAGCGCCGCCACCTCGGGGTCCCAAGCTTCACAACACGCAATCACATGTAGATGTAAGTAATATCGCTCGCGGCAATGTTCTGTGGTGTCACGCCGCCGGCAATACTGCCGCAGACCGATATACCAAGATAGCCGCAGGCCAGAGGGGTATGCCGAGTAAAGCAGAGGTTGAGCAAGCCACCTGTGATGTGGCACCCTTGGACGCATGTTGTCGACATGTGTCCGAGGCACCCCAGTTGTGGTCCACGGTCGCTCCCAGAGCTGGGCGCTGAGGCTCCCTAATAAGAGTATTTGAATCCGCCCCCGAGTGCGGCTGTAATTGGCTCCTGGGGAATCGATGCGCCTCCGCCTCTTGTTCTATCGTTCGCTCGTGCTTCCTAAGCCAGGTCCAGGAGAGACCACGCATGGCACAATATAGAAACGCGTTGGCTCTGTGCTATGAGTCGCGCTCGCTGTGGGAGCGAGCAAATTCTGCAGCAGAGAGCTTACGAGCATTTCTTAGGCTTTACTGCGCATCACACAAGCTCTTGCCGAACCCACCAAGGCACAACCTTGGTTTCTTTGGTCATGCTGGCGATGATATTCTGCCTGGCAGGATTACCCGTCGGTCAGAAGAAGTGGGTAAAACAAACATGAAGTTGGAAGGCGTTGGAAGTAGATCGGGCCTCCACCCACCCCCTGACGAGGAGGGGAAAGGGAAAACCGCTCGCCTCTTGAAATATAGGAAGGCGCCCGACGTAGACTGGGGCCGGGATATCCAGCAGTACCCGCTTCCCAACGGCCGACGGGCACGTGTTGGAAGCGTGGCGCCTCCAGCGCGAGCCTCAGGAACACCCGCGGCCCGAGCGCACACTTTTGGAGGTCCGCGCGGACTTCCCGGGTCGGCGCCCGGCCCCCTCCTCCTGGCGGCCGCCCCTGGCGCGCCGGGGCGCGCCAGGGGAGGGGGGCCCAGCGCCGAGCCAAGACATCAAGCCCGGACCTCCCGGGGTTCCTGTCTGTGCCGTTTTGCTGGCTCCTCGGCGTGGAGGGCACGCACCCCAGAAGGTAAGCTGGAGGCCCCCGTTGCCCATCGGTCGGAAGAGACGGGTGATTCGCAGCATGATTGAAGAAGGCGTGGAGAGCAGATTGGGTTTCCGCCCGATCCCTAAGAAGGGAGGAGCAATGGGCAACCACTCGGTGATTGAGGTAGGATGGCTCCTAAAATAGATTGCACAATCGACCCGTATCATAAGGATGCACGATAAGGATGCAAGGCCCTTGGAAGGCCGTTTCGAAGCTTTTCGGGCGGGGCGCTGCCAGCGAAAGCGGCCAAGGCTGGACGGAGGAGGCAGGGATGCCAGGGTACCCTTTGGAAAACTGCCCATCCTTACTGTGCGGGTTGACTGTAAGCTGGGGATTCCCGAAGACCTACCTGCAGCGACCGATCGACATTCTGAAGCCCCCGCCCCGCTCGCCCAGCTGGGGACGGAGCCGGCGGGGCCGGGCGCCTGTCCCCCCCCCCCCGTTCGAGGCTTCGGGGGGCCTCCTGGGGCGCCTGGGCGCCCCCCGAAGAACCACCTCCTCCCGCAAATGGGCAGAGCAGTGGAGCCCTTGACGCCGCGACCCCCCCCCCCCCTCCCCCCCATGTCAAGGTTGGCCCCACGCGTTCGGCAACGCGGGCGTGAGAGCCCCCCCCCCCCTCAAAAAGGAAGGCCCCCCCGGCCTCCGCGAGGCCTGGGCCAACTACTTTGAAGTTGAGGGGAGTGGGGGGGGGCGCGAACGCGGGGTCGACGACGAAGGGGTTTCACTCTTTGTTTTCTCGCCGTCCTTTTCTCTTCCTCAACATCTGCACATTGTAAATGTAACTCTCCTCTCCCCTGGCTCTGTCCGGAAGATGCCCGGCCCTCTCCGCGTGCTGTTTTTGTTTTGCTTTGTTTTTTCTTGAACGCGCGAAATTTTAACAGTAGACTTTCAATGCGTTTTTTTTTGTTTTTTGCGATCCGATCCGCTTGTTTTCGGGTTTTCAAAATGATGATGCTCCCGCTGCAGCGTGGGCCTCATTCTCAGATCGGCGCTTTGCTCCCGTCGTTCAGAGTGCGCGCTGTCGCCCGAGCGCAGGCTACTGTTCTGGATCGAAATGCGTTTTCGTCGTTTTCGCTCCTCTCCCTTCCCTTCTCCGCCTTCCCCTGGTCCTCCTGCTCTTCCTGCTCATCCTCCTGCTCATCCGCCACCTCCTCCTCCTCCTCCTCCTCCTCCTCCTCCTCCTCCTCCTCCCCCTCCTCCTATATGCACGCAACTGCCATTCTCCGATTACGCATAACACGATGGGGTATTTCTGGGATTTCCAGGTCCGCTGTGACACGCGTCCGCGGACAGAGAACAAATCCGCGCAATGGTAAGGGATGGTAAGGTCGGATAGTTTTTATGCATCCATCTTGGCCAGGATTCCAGTTGGCACCAGTGCTAGCTTCAGAGGCACGCAGTTGCAATGCCCATTTCGAGTCAAAAAAAGCTCCCTTCTCCTCCCTCCTCCTCCACCTCCACCTCCTCCTTCTCCTGCTTCTCCTCCTTCTCCTCCTTCTCCTCCTCCCCTCTCTTCCCTCCCTCTCACTCCGTCTTCCTCCTCTTCCCTCCCTCTCGTTTCTCATCCTCGCCCCCGCTGGCGCGGAGGGGGGAAGAAGGAGGAAGGGGGAGGCGGAGGAGGAGGAGGAGGCTGATGAGGAGGAGGGGGAAGATATGAAGGAGGATGAGGAGAGAGAAACGATGGAGGGAGGGAGGAAGAGGAGGGAGGAGACGAATGATGATGATGCTGATGATGCTGCTGCTGCTGCTATTGTTGTTGTTGGTATCCTTGTTGCTGTGAATTGCCCTGGCAGTGTCGAAACACCGTCAGCTCCTCATGCTGGTATCGTGCCCAATCCATGCAGAGTCCAGGCTCTCTCGTCCAACCCCGTCGGGTCATAGCTGATTTCATACAGTCGCGGTTCAATGATTCAAACAATCTTGCGAATTGGCCTTCCTACGTCCACGGGCCAAAATTTGCAACACTCTGTCTATTAGAAGATCTCTGGACGTTCTGTCGTGCAAGACGTTGGCAATCGATCAGGATCGTAACTCCTTCTGCCGAACCAAATGGCCTGCGTACCTGTACCTTCGACGAACGACAACCGCGTCGAAATCAAAAACACCCAACGCTCCTTTTGGATTCTGGAGTTCCGTGCTCCCACACCGGGAATACTTATTATCTGGCTTCGACTTGACACGATGCATACATCGTTCTGCGCCGAACGCAATTGAGACAAACTGCTGTTTTGATAGATTCATTTTCAGGCAGACCACAATAACAACACCTTGACATGTCCTCGCAATAAACTAAAACACTGCTTCCCATACCCGATTCCGCATTCCGATACATGACTGGCATTGGCCACGCATGATTTCATCGCGAACCTCTGAATTCACTATGTCCTGCTCTCTGCAACGATCATGCACACCCAAGGCTTTCATACAATTGCCCTCGCATTTTTTGGTTCCAGGCCATGCGTAGTCATCTGGGTTCTGTGTGAAATGCTGTATGTCGTTGGACTGTAAGTCTAATCCGCTCTGTTGCAAGACCGCCAGGGGTTTGCGCATAGGTGATGGTCGATATCGTGATGGTGATGATGGTGAGGAAGAGTATGGCTATGATTGGGAGTATGATGATGAAGATGACGATGATGAAGATGCTGACGATACTGATGATGTTGACTAGGTTGCTGTTGACGATCATGCTGATCATAAGGATGGAGATGCTGAGGATGATTATGCGGACGATGACGATAATGAGAGTGATGATGAGACACATGCTGCTGATGATGGAGATGATGATGCTGATGATGCTGCTGCTACTGATGAGGGTGATGATGATGCTGATTATGGTGATGATGCTGCTGCTGCTGATGATACTGATGCTGCTGCTGATGATGATGATACTGATGCTGCTGCTGATGATGCTGCTGCCGATGATGCTGATGAGGATGAGGATGAGGATGAGGATGAGGATGCTGATGCTGTTGCTGATGATGCTGCTGCTGATGATGATGATGCTGATGCTGATGATGATGATGGTGATGGTGATGGTGATGGTGATGATGATGATGATGATGATGATGAGGATGAGGATGAGGATGAGGATGATGATGATGATGATGATGATGATGATGATGATGATGATGATGATGATGATGATGAGGCGGAGGCGAATTATACGGGATGACGTTCAGGGTGGCGGTGCTGATGAGGATGTTGCGACGGATGAGGATGAGGCGGATGCTGCTGCTGATCATGAAGAAGAGAAGGGGGAGGATAAGGAGAAGGAGGTGGAGCGTGGCAGCAGGAGAAGAAGGAGGAGGAGGAGGAGGAGGAGGAAGTGGAGGAGAAGGATGAGGAGGAGGAGGAGCAGGTGGAGGAAGAGATGGAGGAGAAGAGAGGAGAGGAGGAGGAGGAGGAGGAGGAGGAGGAGGAGGAGGGGGGAGGAGAGTGGAGGCAGGAGGAGGACGACGACGGCGGGCGGGGGCGGGGGCGGCCCGACCACGACTGCGGGGGGCCCAGGCTCCTCGCCCTGGGGGGAGACGCGGACCGCGCACGGGCCCCTGCCGAGGCGCCTGCGCAGGAGCGGACCGGCGCATCGCTCGCTGGTGCGCGCGAGGGGAGGGATGGGGGGGAGGAGGAGGGGAGGAGGAGGAGGAGGAGGAGGAGGAGAGGAGGAGGAGGAGGAGGAGGAGGAGGAGGAGGAGGAGGAGGAGGAGGAGGAGGAGAGGAGGAGGAGGAGGAGAGGAGGCGAAGAGGAGGAGGGAGGGGAGGAGGAGGAGGAGGGGAAGAGGAGGAGGAGGAGGAGGAGAGGAGGAGGAGGAGGGGATACACCCCACCATGAAAGAAGCTCCTCGAAGTCGCCCAGCTAGACGAAGAGCGATCTCAGGGCGGCTGACCTCCTGCTGAGGGCCGAGATCTGCCTTCGAATACTGCACCGTGGAGATGAGGAGGAGGAGGAGGAGGAGGAGGAGGAGGAGGAGGAGGAGGAGGAGGAGGAGGAGGAGAGGAGTAAGGAGGAGGAGGAGGAAGGGAGGAGGAGGAGGAGGGGGAGAGGAGGATGGGGAGGGGTGCCACGGAATGCGCGACCGCCTCCCCTCCCCTACTCCCTCCCTTTCCTGCTCCTCCCCCCGCTCTACCTCCATCGCTCCTCTCCTCCCCCCTGCTCCCCTTCCCTTCTGCTCCCCTGTTCCTCCTCTGCTCTGCTACTCCTCTGCTCCTCCTCTGCTCCTCCTCTGCTCCTCCTCTGCTCCTCCTCTGCTCCTCCTCCTCCTCCTCCTCCCCCCTTCCCCTCCTCCTCCTCCTCCTCCTCCTCCTCCTCTCCTCCTCCTCCTCCTCCTCCTCCTCCTCCTCCTCCTCCTCCTCCTCCTCCTCCTCTTTCTTTGTACCGTACCGCACCGTACTGTGCAGCGAGCTGCTGCTGGTGCTGGAGCCACTGGCACAGCGGCCGCCGCTGGGCCCGAGCGGCCTGGAAGCCTCCCGTGGAGGCCTGGAAAGCCCCACGTGTCGGGTGCTGGCCAGCCGTGTGCTGTCTGGCGGCGCGGTTGCGCCATCTGCCGGCCGCGTGCTCGGCCGCGGTCGGGCCGAGGGCGCAGCCGCAGCGCAGTGGGCCCTCGGCTGCACGGCCGAGCTGGACACGTCGGCGGCGCGCGCGTGCGCTCAGTGGGGGCCGACCTCGCGCGCGTGGGCGCGCGCGCGCGCGTCCGCGGCGCGTGCAACCGCCGCGGGTCACGCGTGTACGGCGGGGGCGGCGTGGAGGGGAGCGGCGTCCCCGCCTCGGGCCCCAGCGCCTGGGCCACGCGGGCCTGGATGCCCGCTTGGGGCGGCGGCGCTCGCGGCGGGGCTCACGAGGGGAGTGTGTGTGGAGGAGGAGGAGGAGGAGGAGGAGGAGGAGGAGGAGGAGGAGGAGGAGGAGGAGGAGGAGGAGGAGGAGGAGGAGGAGGAGGAGGAGGAGGGAGGAGGGCGGAGGAGGAGGAGGGAGGAGGAGGAGGAGGAGGTATAGAGAGGAGGAGGAGGAGTAGGAAGAAGAGAATGAGGAGGTGGATGTGATGAGGCGGAGGAGAGGATGAGAAGGAAGGGAGGAGGAGGAGGAGGAGAGGAGGAGGAGGAGGAGGAGAGGAAGAGGAGGAGGAGGAGGAGGAGGAGGAGGAGGAGGAGGAGGAGGAGGAGGAGGAGGAGGAGGAGGAGAGGAGGCGGAGGAGGAGGAGGAGGCGGAGGTGGAGGAGGATCAATGTAAACCCATGACTCTTCAACGATGTTCTAATAAAGCCTCCCTCCAAGTTCCCTCTTCATGGGTCCCCAGGGATATTTATTCATTGAGGGAAAGACCCCGTTGGAAGACAACCGTGTGGAAATCTTCAACCGTGCCAAGTCACCATTTCTGGGACTTGGACGCCGCGAATCAACGCTACTGGTGCGTCCTGACGATCCGGAATCGTACCAGAACGCCATTCCTGGGACTTCGACACCGCGAATTAACGTAACTGTTTTGCCCTGACAATCCTGCATCGCACCCGAACGCCATTTCTGGGATGTGAATTATAATCATTGAAACTGCTGTGCACTCTTTTTCAAGAATATGCACGGTGCTAAAGCGAGAACCACATGTTGAAAAGGTACCGACCCCCGCCCGTGAAACTCTTTCAAATTTGAAGACGAGTGTGCGCGGCGCTCAAGCGAGAACCGCATTTTGAAAACCGGCCGCGCTCCATCCGTGAAGCTCTTACAATTCTTTACAACGATGTGCGCGGTGCTAAGGCGAGGGGTACATGTGTGAAAACTGCCCACCTCCTATCCGTGAACTTCTTGCAATGTTTCAACTTACAGATCATAAAATCGTTGGGAAATCACACAGACGAAACGCCCAGCAAGCTCTACCGACACGCCTGGGGGTGCGACAGGGAGGAATTATTTATATAAGGACAACGGATGGGGGATGAGTTTTTCTTTTATAGCTATTTTAAATATTTCTGGCATATTTTTGGGCACCCCTGGAGTCCCCATTGTCACGGCCAGAACCGCCGCGGGAGCCTGACCGGGGCGCGCTCCAGGACAGAACTGCGGGCCGAGTTTGAATTTCAGTTTGGGTAGATTTGTTATTGTTCTATCTTTTCTTCGGGGGTTACGCAACGTATGCCGTATAACGTCTGGGGGCCTCGCCACGGTCCCAATGTGTGCCGGTCTGCCAGATTCGCCACGATTCCTTATAAAAAACATAAGATTCGCGTCGCGAAGACCACCTTTCTGGCTTTCCGTTGCCGCGATCCCTCGTAAACCACAAGATTCATGTCGCGATGGCCACCTTTCGGGCCTCCCGATGCCGCATTTTTTGAAAAAACATAAGGTTCGCGTCGCGAAGACCACACAAGGTTCGCGTCGCGAAGACCAACGCAAGATTCGCGTTGGGATGGCCACCTTTCTGGCCTCCCGATGCCGCAATCCAGATTCGCGTCGCCAAGGCCACGTCTCTGGCCTGCCGACGCCGCATTGCCGTGTAAGACGCGCAAGAGTCGCGTCTCGAAGGCGACCTCTCTGGCCTCCTGATGCCTCCCCCTTCGGAAAAGCGTAAGACTCGCGTCGCAAAGGCCACCCCTCCGGCCTGCCGATGCCGCAATCCTTTCTGTGAAAGCTGTAAGGTTCGCGTCGCGAGCTGGGCTGGGCCCAGCGCCGAGGCCGCCGGGGCCGGGCCCGGGGCCGGAGGGCCGACACAATCAGAGGGCCGTGGCCAGGCTGGGCCGGGAGCCGCGGGGTCGGGGCCGCCATGGGGCCCAGGCCTGGGCTGGGGCTGGGAGCCTGGGGCGTGCCAGAGATCGAACACTTTTTTGGTCGGCGGGTCGGGAGCGGGCCCCTTCCGGTTAAGAGCTGGGCGGGGCGCGCGAAGCCCCAATTGGGGAGATAGGGCGCGGGCGGGAAGGGCCTCAGGCGGCCGGGAGAGGTCGAAGACAAGGAGAGCCCAATGAAAAGCGTGCTTGGGGAGCCGCTGTCGGAGCCAGGGCCGGGCTGGCTCGCGAGGCCTGCAGGGGGCAGGGCTGGGCCGGGGCGCGGGCCGAGGCCAAGGCGGGGTTGGAGAGCCGTTCTCCGGAGCCCCCCTGGTGGTTCTGCCCGGGACCAGCGAGCGTGGGCCCTGGGGCCGGGGCCGGGCCGGGAGCCGGGGCCGTGGCCGGGGCCAGGGGCGTGTCCGCGGGGCGAAATGTCTGCGGCAGGCTAAGGGCTTCGGAGAAGAATGCGTCATACACCACACGGGAGCCGCTTTACTACGCTGAGCTCTACTCGGACAATTCCCTTCATGCCACGGTATACGATGCCATGTATACACATGTCACATGCAGTGCTACGTTTTCAGGATCGTAGATTTTGATGGTGTCTCATATTGTGTGCCCGGGGCCGCCCTACCGACGCGTCTATGGGTTCGACGAAGAAGGGCCACCTGCAAGCACCAGGCACAGAGGAGGGTGGAGCGGAGGAAGTAAGAAGAGGGAGTAAGTATGGACGAGGGCGGGCTCCAGGAGGAGGGACTCCCCCAACGGTGACCGAGCACGTGCAAAAGGACGCCAGGGGAGGAGGACAATGAGGGTTGGACGAGGGAGGCGCCATCCCTCGTGCTACCATCGGGGGCGACGATAGGGGCGAACAGCCCAGAGGGGGGAGCAACACATGTTGTACCGAGGGGCTCCGATGGTCTGTGTCTTGGGCGAGGCTGCTGGAAGGCAACGCGTAATGCCCGCCTCTTGACTATTCGCCCCTACCGTCGTCTCCGATACCAGCCCGCCCCGGGGGGGGGGGGATCGGCGCCTCGCGCAAGCCCGCCCGTCGCAGCCTGCGCCTCTCGCTGCCTGGCCCGGCCGACGGGAGGAGGATGGCTCTCCTCCTTCTCCTCCTCCTCCTGCTCCTGCTCCTCCTTCTCTTCCTCCGTCCTCCTCCTCCTCCTCCTCCTCCTCCTTTTCCTCCCTCCTCCCTCCTCGTTGTCCTACTTCTCTTCCTTCCTCCTCCCTTCCTCCTCCCTCCTCCTCCTTGTCCTCCCTCCTCTTCCTGCTCCTCCTCCTCTCCCTCCTCCTCTTTCCTCTCCTCCTCCTCCTCCTCCTCCTCCTCCTCCTCTTCCCTCCTCCTCTTCCCTCTTCCTCCTACTCCTCCTCCTCGTCGTCCGTCCCTCCCTGATGTTTCTCCTCCTCACCTCCTCCCTTCTCCTCATCTTCTCCTCCTCTCCTCCTCCTCCTCCTCCTCCTCCTCCTCCTCCTCCCCTCGCTCTCTTCTCTCTTCCTCCTTCCTCCTTCCTCCTCCTTCCTCCTTCCTCCTCCTTCCTTCCTTCTTCCTCACTCCTCCTCATCCCTCCTCCCCCTCCTTCTCCTCCTCTCCTCCTCCTCCTCCTCCTCCTCCTCCTCCTCCTCCTCCATCTCTCCTCCTCCTCCCCCTCCTCCTCCTTTCCTCCTCCCTCCTTCTCCTCCTCCTCCTCTCCCTCCTCCCCCCTCCTCCTCCTCCTCCTTCTCCTTTCCTCCCTCCCTCCCCTCTTTCCTTGTTTCTCCCCCATGCTCCTCCAATCCCAGCCTCCGCGCCGTCGCCGGCAGTGGAGCAGTGCGGCCGCGTTGGTTCGCTGCAGCTGCGCGCGGCGCAGTCATTGACCTGCCTGGGGGTGCCGGGACGAGGATCTGCCACTGAAGCAACTCTTGGACTGCGTCTATGCTCGCCTTCGCCAGGGCGCGCGCCAGCTCGTGCCGTCCATGGCGCACCGCGGGTTCGGCTTGCCGATGCAGGTCCTCGAAATAGCGCCCCGCGTGGAGGCGTCGGCCCTCTATGGGGCGGAGCTGCTCGCGTCGTGCGCGCTGGGGTGGGCCACGGTTGCGGCCCGCTGCAATGACGCCTACCATGACGTGGCCAAGCTCCTCCTGGCTGGACTGGCCGCCCATGTGTCCGTGGGCCCTAGTGGCCACGTCTGGGCATTCCTGGAGGCGCGGCTTTTAACGCGACTTGGCACGAGACTTGCGTGCCGCGTCATCACCGCGAGGGCGCGCATGGGCCTGCTGGATGCGCACTCCCAGGTGGCGCCGGTGCTGGCAGCCACAGCAGCGGCGGCCTGCGGGGCAACGTGGTGGGAGGCGACGGGGGCGGTGGCCGGGGACATCGGCATCGCGGCTTGGCCTTCCGTCTTGCCGGACGCTACCCCCGCGGCCTGGAAGCAGGTGGCGCGGGCCTGGGCTCGCGCAGTCGTGGACCCGCTGCTGAAGCGGCGGGAAGCGGCGCGGTTTGCGGAGCAGGTGGCCAAGCTCACTGACGACGACGACGACGACGACGTGGTCTCGCTGGGTGACCTGCTGCCGCTACGACGGTCGTGGGCGCAGGAGCTGCGATGGGCGCCGTGGAGCCGCGCGACGTGGCGCCTGCACTGGGCCTGGTGCGTGGCGCGTCTGACGGTGGGCATCCCATGCTCGGTGTGGGGCCTCGCGGCCCCCCCTCCCGCCGTGCTCTCGCCGCTGGGCGCACGCTCTGCGAGGGCCGCGCTCACGGCCTGCACCACCTCCCGGTCGAGTGACCGGCCGTCGCGAGGGGCCCAGGAGGACGTGGCGGCGCGCTGGCCAGGCATGCCCAACGGCCCGCTGGTGGGGGCGCTTGGGCTGACCCAGTCGCGGGAGGAGCTGGTGGACGAGGTGCGGCTGGTCGGGCTGGCTAGTTCGCAACGTGCCTCGAGCAAACCCCAAGAGCACCCCAATACGCTTCCACGCGGCCGCTCGTGAGTGTCCCAAAGACCCTTTCGTCGAGGGGCCCAATCCTTCTCGCCGCCGCCCCGCTTCTGATGGGCTCGTGAGGCCTCAAGATGATTCGAAGACGGTCCAAGAGAGCCCAAGCGGTGCCCAAGACGGCCCCCAAAGCGCCCCGAGAGGGCCTTCACATACAAGTTGTCGGCCTCCAAAGGGGGTGGAAACGTAGTTCAACCCCCCTGCTTTTATCAATGGCCTCTGGGATGGCCTCCAGCGCGCCCGCGCGATGTTTCCGCATCGCGCCCCCCACCCACCCACTACGCCACACCCCGCACACCGAACGTGCCCCACGGGGGAGCGCCGCACACACCCCTGGAGGCGGGGTTTGCGAGTCGTTCCTCCGCCCATGTCGGCACACCATTCGCGCGAGTCGTTCCCTGCAACCCTCGTCAAAATTAACCTCAAAAATGTCTGACGTGGTTGAACTGCTTGTCGGAAGATCTGGGGCCGAGTATCGATGAGTGCGGAGTACTTGCATGCGCCGCCCCTCCAATGTCGGTCGACGTCAAACTTTCGAGTCAACTTCGGTCAGGCTATCTTTGCTCTCGCCCCGACATTGACGGGGCGGCGTGTCGACATTGAGGGGCGCGCCGAAATCGAAATGACGTGCCAGCAACTTTTGAGGTTCATTTTCACGAGGGTAGTGGGATATGCTCCACCTGTATGGCACCAGTGGGCCATTTCGCATGGCGCGCCCCCGCCCGTTCTGGCACGTGCCTCGCACAGGCCGTGCCTCGCAAGGCGCTCCACCTGCGGCCTCGCTGGGCGACTTCGAGCGCGGGCACCTCGACTATTTGGCTCCCCCTTCACGCGGTTCGTGCCTCACGCGGAGTTCAGCGGGCCTGTGCACGCTTGCTCCGCAGCGCAGCAGCCCGCCATCAGCTCAATCCCGCGGCTCGCAGTGTGTGAAGAGAAGACCGCGCCCCGCGCTGCACGTGACTGCATGGGGTTGGGCCCGCCGACAGGCCAATGGTTTGCTTGTCTATGGCCTTCGGCCCATACCGCCAACGTGCCTGAGTTTTTGGCCAGGAGGCTTCTTGGATATATGTAATTAAGTTGGGTTCTCTTGGCATGCTTCTCGGGCGCCTCGTGGAGCACATTTTTGAACATTTCGGGGCCTCTTGGGGGCCGTTTGGGGCCTCTTTTGGGGCTGTTGGGGCCTCTTGGGTGCCTGCTGGCGGCCTCGGGGGTGCACTTACGGCGAAAGGCTCCACATGTCAGCGCGAGTTCCTCCTGTGGCCCTCTTGGACCGTCTTGGACACTGTTTAAGCCCTTCCGAGTGAATATGTTACAAATGGAAAGCGCGCCAGTAGATGACCCTGTAATTGAAAAGGGGGGGTGTGCTCGCAGAACCCCCCCTTTCCCCCCCTTCAAAGGGGGGTGAGATTTTCGACCACCCCCATTTCCCCTCCTTAAGGGGGGGGGGTCCAACACCCCCCCCCCTTGAAGGGCGGGGGGGGTTCCGGACCCCCCTCCCCTCCCCCCCTTGGCGCTGGAGGGGGGGGGGGCGGGCTCGAACCCTCCCCCCCCCTCCCCCCCTTTGCGCCGAAGAGGGGGCCGGGGAGGGGGCGTCTCCAGCAACGGGGGGGGGTCTGGCCTCGGGATAGACAGTAGTGAGTAATGAGAAGTGAGAAGTGGGTAGTGAGTAGTGGGTAGTGCGTAAGGAGTAGCGAGTAGAGAGTAGTGAGTCGTGAGTAGTGGTTCGTGGGTACTGAGTAGTGAGTAGCTAGTAGGGACGTGTGACTAGTGACTAGCGACTGGGGAGTAGGGAGTGCTGATTATTGAGTAGCGAGTAGCGCGGGTGGGTAAGTAAATGTTGCGTATCGGGTAGCGAGTAGCGAGTAGTGAATAGTGAACAGCGAGTACTGTGTAAGGTGTAGGGAGTAGCGAGTAGCGGATAGTGAGCAGTGGGTTGAGGGCAGTGAATAGTAAGTAGTGAATTGTGAGTACTCAATAGTGAGTATTGGATAGTGGTTAGTGGGTAGTGAGTAGTGGTCAATGAGTGTGAGTAGTGGGTAGTGATAAGTGTTTAATGAATATTGAACGGTGGGTAGTGAATAGTGAATATTGCGTAGTGAATTGGGAGTGGTGGGTACTGAGTAGTGAGTAGTGAGTAGTGGGTAGTAGGTAGTGAGTAGTGGGTCGTGAGTAGTGAGTCGTGAGTAGTGAGCAATGAGTGGTGAGAAATGAGTAGTGAGTAGCGAGTAGAAAATAATGGGTAGTCAGTAGTGAATAACGAGTACAGAGTACTGTTTGGGGCAAAGTTAGGGTTTGGGGTTCGGGTTGCGGGTGGTCGGGGTGGTAGTGTTAGGGGTGGTAGGGGTCGGGTTCCGGAGCCAGGGTGCGCCGTGGCGAAAGGGGGGAGGGGGGGGGGTCGAATTTGGCGGCCAAAAGGGGGAAGGGGGGGGTTCGGACCCCCCCTCCTCTCCTTTGAAAGGGGGGGGGCTTCCCCGACGACGGACCGGGAAGGGGGGGGGGGTCCCCGACGACGGGGTGGGGTGGGGTTCCCCGACGACGGATCGGGGAGGGGGGGGGGGTTCCAACCCCCCCCCCCCTGGGGCCATCCAGCGGCGCGCTCTCTTACAAATGCACGTGTTCCTACGGAATGGGGTACTTCGGACCTCCTGAAAGATTCGCGGGGCATCTCAATGCCTTCTTGGGCCGTCTTCGGGCCGTTTTGCCATCTTGAAGCAATCGTGGGTCGTGGTCGCCTTTTCCCCAAATAGGTTTGCCTAAGGGGTTGTTACTTGGTTGAAGGTTCGTGCCTCGGGGGCCCGTTCCCCAGGGATTCCTCGGGTCCCCCGAATTCCCTGGATTCCTCGGGTTCCTCGGGTTCCCAGGGTTCCCCGGGTTCCTCGAGTTCCCAAGGTTCCCCGGGTCTTACGGAAGGCTTCCTACGCGATGTGTTGGTTTACGCGTTTTTTTTTTTTTTTTTTTTTTTTTTTTTTTTTTTTTTTTTTTTTTTTTTTTTTTTTTTTTTTTTTTTTTTTTTTTTTTTTTTTTTTTTTTTTTTTTTTTTTTTTTTTTGTGTGTTGTTGTTGCAAAAAAACAAATATTCATTTATTTATTTATATTTATATTAT